TTCCTACTCCTCCTCCCATTCGTGCTGTTCTATTGCATGGAATAAAATTATAGTTAGGCAAGTTAAAAAATTTGATGTCGTTGTTACTAGATAACCATGTTTCGGTTAGTCCAATTATGGTAAATGAATTATTTAGTAACGATATATAGTTTTTTATTTTTTCAAACTTATTTACCATGCTACGGCAGTTTAGAGAGAAAATCGATAGATTGTTTAATCATACCCTCTTCGCAGCCGCTATTTGGTTTCTGGGACGTCTTCACAGCCGCTATTTTTTTCCTGAGACGTCTTTTTGGTAGCTGCGCATGCTCGACATGGCTCGATAACGTCACTTACACAATGCACATGCTCACTGGCTGTCTAGCAATTCCAAGCGCATGCTCACTGTGTTTTTATAGATAATTCACGGACGTTATTTGGTAACTGCGCATGCGCATTGCTTAGTTCGGAATTCCCATTTCTTCGTAGTAAAAGCTACCGCTACCTTACAGTTTCTTAATTACTATTTTCTCTTGATCGTTACAGTCTAAATTGCGGCGCGAAAATCACCTAATGAAAATCGCTACAGTGTCTTCGGTGCAATCGTTGTACTGCGTAGCAATCCCCGACACAATCGGGGGATGGCTCCCCGATTCGACCGACCAATCAGCATTACCGAAAGCTGTCGGCGATAGTGTGTAGCGATTGTATGGAAAAAAACTTTAGCCTTTAATAATGGTAGTTGTGTCGGTACAATCACAAAACTATTTAAAAGTATTCTGTATGAGTATAGGCCTATTTTTCAATGATAAGGCTATCACGACCAGGTTGCGATGGCATGGAGTCGAAGCGTTTGATTTTCAAAGAGAACGAGAGATGTTATAGTATGATGTCATAAAGCCCGCGGTTTCGAAAGTGTCGAGTGAGGGTTGTGATTTCAAGTAGTCTGTATCAATTTCAATCCGGAAATCGTCAATAAGTAGAGTAGGCGATTGATTTTTGTTGGGCCGGGTGAAAATGTATATATTATTATTATTAGGAGATCTTTGTTTGTTTGTCTGGTCCGGTCCAAGGTAAAAGTGATTGATAGCAAGTACTTGGGTTGATCCACACAAGATGGTGTATAGTAGAGCCCTGGTACAGTGTAGGCCTACCGTACAGTGTTTACTATGTGATTCCCAGGCAATTTATTAATCATGGTAGCAAATTATAAAAATAATAAAATGGCATTGGCTCAATAATCCTATCTTTTTTATTTCCGATGGTTCAAAATGTTATGTTGTAGATTAAAATTACACTTATTCATTTTTATCTAATCAAATCAGGGAGCAGTACATGACTGCTCCCTGATAAAGCCAACAATTTTTCTTTTTGAAATTTCTACCCCATTTAGACAAACTAATTACAACTTTAACACATTTCGCCTCCATTTTAAAGTATCTTCATACAATAATTAATAATCCATACCCCGTCGCTTGTGCAATATTTTCTAAATTTTACACCTCTATATTGATAAAATCTTTCAATTTCAACATCCCTGTGTATCTCAATTTTATTGATTTTTGCGATCAAATGTTATAAATTTAAATTTTACTGTTACTGTTTAGTTTAGATCTAATTCACAGTTAGACTTTGTATTTTCTCTTTACAGTTTATGTATGTTTTTCTGCTCTATATATGCCTCTTTGTTTATTGTCAATATTGTGTCAATTCAGTGCTTGCGCTGCAAAAACAATATGAATAAAACATGATTGAATATGAATATGAATGAACCTGGAAATGAAAGAAAAGTAAACATTCACTAACGCAATTCGCTTTATCTTTGGCATACAAAGTACAGAACCTTTGAGGTGTTTCGTCTGACGAACATTCTTTGTTGTAGTAGAATATCAGGGTCCAAAAAAATCTTTATAGCGTCCCAAATGAACAGTTCTCTGGTATTTGGAATCGTGTCTGAACAAAACAGCAGTGTAATTTCATTCATTTCATTTCATTTCCTTAGGCACGAGCGCTAAGGATATGCCAATCAGTGAACATAATCACTATCCTACGTGCATATCAATTAAATGCCAGGGGACTGAATGAACCAGTACACCGAGGTAATCCCCTACTCTTCTCAAAGGATGTACTGGGTTCTTTAAAGTGCAGACGAGAAAATGCGTACACTGGGCCTATGCTGTTTATAGTATTTTTACTGAGATGACTTTTTCCACCACAGGAACCATTGGCGAGTGAGCCTAACTCATTTAGCTGCATACGCAGTGCACTCCTGTGTGCGCTCCACTACCTCCGAGGTGACTGTCTTATCTGATGAAGTAATTTGACTATAACCCAGAAGATTTATTTTATTCCCCCAAGCCATGGCAGTTTCTTTATCTGGTCAAATTCATCCAGTATGTAATGCACTTAAAGCAAATGAATGCTGACAACCGTTAACTTGGGAGTCAACCTCTCGTGACATATACGGTACGGTACACTGGGGAACCTTTTCGTTTATGTCACTGATCACTCTATAGCAGAAATACACCGAAAATGATTTTCTTATGAGGTAGTGTCATTGTATGTTAAGGCGCATAACTATAATGACGCTTTCCCACACTCCCACTGAATCATTTATTGTGTTCTATAACTGTGGCTTGCATTTGGATTTTCCAAATGTAGGCCTATACCATTTTATGCCAAGCGTTGAGAAAGTCTACTGGAGTAGTTACAATGGGGACGGACACGAAATACGTTCCCTAAATTGTTTTGATGTGCTCGTACATGGTTGCTTGTTTTGTTTAAATTCAATTGTTCCTATAGCTTGTGATGAAAGAAACCTTTTAAGGTGTTTTCTCTCTTCAAAACAAAACGGAATAGCCGAATTGTTACCATCTGCACCTCTTTTAGCAGTTGTTTCGAAAGACTGCGTTTGAGATTTTCCTTTGGCCACTGCACATTCTCGCTGACCACTCATTTGTTTAGCCTTTTTTAGAATTTCACTGGCATCAGTCATATCTGCAATAGAGCAAGGGGCTTGAACTAATCTCTTGACAAGCTGTAAAACTTCATACAGTTGGCTCAATTTCTCCTCTTTCTCATTTTTTGCAGCCTCACTATTTTGCAGAGCGGACTTAGATTGTTTATCCAAATTAGCCAATACCTGCTGTTTAGAATTATCAATCACCTGATGAAGTTCGTCTGCGAAGCGTTCAATATCCTTTTTGCATATGGCCACAGACTGATTTTGTGCTTCTGTATCTTGAAGATGCTGATCAAATCCCTTCTTCATTTCCATCTCTTTAGCTAAACAGTAACTCAGAACTGTGTTAGCTTCTTTTTTTAAATTTTCAAATGCTGTTTTCAGGTCCTCAATATCATGTTGTTTGTGAACGACGACAGTGCAATCCCTACATACAGGCCATGAACAATTCATAGACTGATAGTGCTCTAAGGTCATCACAGTATGACTTTGACAAGAAGGTATTTTCTGATGGTTTTCAACACATTCTGTACAAAAGAATTTTGAACAGTCCATGCAGCGTGCAGTCACATTTTCGTTACACAAAAGGCAGTTAACTTCCTCTTCATTAGTGCTGCATTTCTCGTTCATGTTGTTCGTTGACCCACGAAGTGCTTTACCTGGTAGACCTACCTCAATTTTGCGGCACGTCAGACATGACAATAAACCTTCCTTAGAATTCACACAGTCTCCAATGCATTTCACGCAAAATGAGTGCTGACAATCAAGAGTTTGGAGAGGATTAAACCTCTCTTGACACACGGATCACATGGCAACATTTTCAGTGATTTTATCAGCCATTGGTCTCCCCCAATCACTGCTTATTTTCTTTTCTAAAATTGTCTATTCGATGTTCGATTGTATAGGTCTACTGAAAAAAATAGAACAATAATAGAAATATTAAATATATTTTAATATATATATGTATATGTATGTATATATATGTCTCTTATACACATCTAGATGTGTATAAGAGACAGCTAAAGGGACCTTCAATAATTGCAAAACCGTTTACCAATGTGGAGGTCGTATATTTTCACCGTGACCTTGGTATTACTATTGATTCTAATACCCGATTCACACGTGAAGTTAAATTTAACAAAAAGTAACAAATTGTAACCGAGCGATCTCCCGAGTTATTCCTACCGAGATAAAAAGCATTCACACGCGTCTGTAAGGTAATGCCAT